ATACTTGATACAACTAGCTGAAAAAACATTTTTGTGAACTTTTTAGTAATCGTTAGTTTTTAGTGACTAAAAAAATCTTAATAAAAAAGGTGATAGTTCTTTGGTGAAAAGACGACTGTATGATTTAGGGTATGTTTGGTACAACTAGCTGGAAAAAAAATACTTTTGTGGACTTTTTTTTAGTAACCGTTAGTTTTTAGTGACTGAAAAAAATCTTAAGAAAAAAGGTCACATCTCTTTGGTGAAAAGCCGACTGTTTGATTTAGGGTATTTTTGGTACAACTAGTTGAAAAGATATTTTTGTGAGCTTTTTAGTAACTTTAAGCTTTTAGTGACTGAAAGTATCTTTAAAAAATGTGTTAGCTGTTTGGTAAAAAACTGACTGTTTGATTTAGTTCGGTTTGGTAAGCTGTTAGGATTAATTAATATTAAAAGTCACGGGCCTTTTTCCCAGATGCTACTCCTTGTAGCATCTCAAAAAAGATCTTTTAATTTTTGAAAAGCTCTTAAAATTTGTCATGTCAAACTTACAACTAGAAGCTTTTACAGGCTTTTTGAGCAGTACAAAAGTAGAAGACAGAGACTTATGTCTCGCAAACATGCACTTAGTTCTGTTTGATATACAAACTGTTGGGACAAATTAATACTAAAACTCACGGTCTTTTCTCGGATGCTACTCCCCGCAGCATCTTAAAAAATATCTTTCATTTGTTGAAAAGCTCTTAAAATTTGTCATGTCAAACATACAACTAAAAGCTTATGGAGAATTTTTAAACAGTGCAAAAGCTAGAAGGCAGGGACTTATGTATGTTGGACATGCACTGAATCACTCAAGTAGGTTGAATCCATTGAAATTAATGAAATTTTAACTGAATTTACCGACTTCACAAATTTTCTGATTTGTGGAACTGTTATATTTGAAATATTGTGGAAAATTGGTACGGTGATCTTTTACTACAATTTCAACCAGTTCAATCACAAAAGTACTCTAGCACTCACTTATACTGACTATTATACATTTCTGCAAACGAAATCAAAATTTGTGTTAAAGACAAAAATGGCTCACAAGATTCATAAAGCTAAAGATTTTGTGATTTTGAAGCACATGCAAGTCGGAATGTTAGTTTCTTTAAGGGGTCTTTGATGTTTGAACTTGCAGTTTCGTTGGCCCACCCCCCTTTCGAACCGCCGTAATGGAGTGAATGAGTTGACAGAGTTTGAGAGATGACGCTTCAAGTAGGAATTTGGCTATCTACAGTTTTTTATTTGAATTTTAATCCAAGTTTTTTTATTTATTTCTTAGTCAATTCTTCTAGTTTTTGAATTTTGTATGTCTGTGTTAGTCCTATGGTGTATAGTTTCACTATGTTTGAAAGTATTCTTACTTTGAGTGTCTATCATTACTTCAAACCGGCCTCCCGCACGTTCAACGATCTGTTCAATTTTTTGGAGAACATTTTTTGTCTAAACAGGGAGGGACAAGACCTCCGGGTTATATTATAAAAGAAGTGAATCTGATGTAAGATTCACGATTCTTATGTTTTAATACAAGCTTTCTTCATCAAAATCCTTGTAAAGCATTAAGGGGGTGTATAGTACTCTCATGTCTCTTAAAATTTAGTCAGGTTTGATAGACATGAAGATTTATAAATTAAAACTATGTGGTTGAGATTTATCTAGAGGAAAAAGAATTAACCAGAATCACACTTCTTTACTTAAAAGAGAAAGTTACAAATTTAGTGGGGCAGTCAAAAAAGGAAAGTTGACAAAATCTAAGAGGTGGGTGGATTATATGAATTTAATGGAAAGTTTTAAAAGTGTGAATTTTAAAAGTTTATGTGTATTCAATGTAAAGTTTTTAAAGTAAAAAAAGGTCTAAACGTATTCAAAATTTTCATTCGTTCTTATGGACTTTTCGTGGACTTTCAACTCATTTGTGGTATATTACTTTATGCAATTGTCTCTTCTCATCACCAAATATTTTCATAGATATTTTCTGTTGTCTCCTACTCATCACAAGGGCGCATAGTAGTAGTCGCATACATCCGGTTTCATAATCAAACTAGATTTGACTAACTATTTACCCGAGTTCACAAAATTGGCCAACTAATTCTGAACTATTATCGAGTCAGGAGATGGGTACCCGGGTGGTGTCATTATGCAAGGTTTGAACATCAAATTCTATTTTTTGGTCAATCTACAATAAATAGAATTGAATAAGGAGATCTTACATCAATATTGATACACAAGATAAACTTAAAAATGATTTTTTATATATCATCTTACAAGGAAAAAATGTAGGGTTGCACAATCGGAGTGGTTCTTCGGTAGAGAATTAATAAGTATTTGAAGAACCATTAATTTAATATCGATTCGCTTCTAGATTTTTCAGAAATCGATAGCATCATATCGTTGCAGTTCTTGTATGTTGTTAGTTAACCGTTTAGAAATAAAATATATATTTAACTATTATTGTGTATCATAGTCAAAACACTAACAAATTAAAAACATGATATGAGACCAATAAATATTTAACTGTAAATAAGTAAACAAATTCTAACAAGCTAAAACTGAAAACAAAACAACTATCAAGAAAATGTTTGATTGCACATATGCTCGTACCATATGTAGTACTCCCTCCGTCCCCAAATGAAGTTGAGCATTGCTTTTCACACATATTAAGGAAAGAAATTTACTGGGGGGTAAATTTTACTGTTTGGGCACTGTTTGGACACTGTTTGGACACTGTTTGGCACTGTTTGACACTGTTTTGATATAGATAAATTGCCAAATAAGGAAAGGTGAACTTCATTCATGGACTACCCAAAAAGGAAGGGGTGAACTTGTTTCAGGGACGGAGGGAGTAATAAACATAACAGTTGTGTGACGATCAATATTCCTACTCATTGAGTTGTGTAATATAATAATTGATCACAACAAGATCAAGATTGTCGATTATTATCTTGAGTTTTGTAATTAATAACAATATATTTGGGTGCTTAGGCCTTATTTTTTTTAGCAACAAACAATTAATTGGCATTAATTAAATCAAAGTTTAGTACATCAACAATTCTGCTAGGAGGGAAAAATGATCAAACACAACAATCAGACATAGAACTAGCTTCTCGTGCAATCACATGAATGGCCTATTCGCAGATCGTCTAATATGATGGAAATCAATATCCGTAAAGCTAAAGCTTAAACTTGAACGATTTTCCGAAATGACTTGTAATGAATCAGACTCCACATCCACATAATTCCAATCCTGACCCTTTAACCAGCTTAGAGCTTCCCTGATACCTATTAATTCTGCCTCCAAAGGTGAAAAGTTGCCCTCCCAATACCTGGCTACCCTAGCCAGAAAATCCCCATGATCATTTCTTAAAATCCACCCACCCACACATCCCTCATCATTGAAGCCAGCATCAATGTTTAATTTGCACCGACCCTCAGTCGGTCGTTTCCATGCCAATTTTGAACTCTCTCTTGAATACATAAAGCCCTTCCTTGATCTTTTGCCTGAAGCCAAGCATTGACAAAAGATTCTGCTTTGCCCAAAAATTGATGAGCTTCCAACTTCTTCCCCTTCCAAATTCTCTCATCCCTTCCACACCAAATGCTCCAACAAACCCAAGCTATCTTCTGTAGCTCCTCGTTCCTCTTCACCTGAAATAGCCGCTGCACCCATTCAATAAAAGAGCTAGCCGGCAACCCCACAAAACTCTACATTGCCAGATTAATTACCATTGTTTCATTTATTCATTTAATTGTTCTTTGTCACAATGTATAGAGAAAATTTCTTAAATGACACTAAATATTATATTTATATCCCTACTTTAATTAATTAATATAAATAATTGTTTCCTAGTTCACTTGCATAACTAAGGTCAATCTATTGGTGATAACTCAGTCTGATGGCGGCAGCGAACTCCAATGACATTGAAATTAAATAATGGCGGCGACAACAACAACAGTCTGGCCGATCGGCAATGAAGATTGCGGAGAATTTCAGCGTCCAAGCGGCGAGGATCTGGATTTAAAAGTTTATAAACTTTTTCAAGAGTGTATTGGCTTATCCATAAATTTATGCACTGAATTATTCAGTTATAAAAGTCTAAGAATTTAAAAGTTTATGCACTTTATTACAAGCACATGTATTAAAAAAAGTGTAAAAAAAAGTGTAAAATTAGTTTTCTTAGTATATACTAATACTACGTATACTGAGGTGTGAACTAATTCTGGTTATGCTTCTTTTTTAAAGCAGAAGCAGAATCAAAATCAGTTTTCAGAAACTAGTCACCCTAATCTTTTAAAAGAACTAGCTAATTCTAGGAGTAAATTGGAGCATCAAAAGTATTTCTGCATTTTCACCCAAACACTATAACTTCTGTTTATGCTCCCAAACAAAGTAGAAATAATTTTAAAAATCAGATTACTCCCTATCAAACACTCCTATACAGGGAAAGTCAATTCAGCCTCGTCCTTTCTACACGAGAACTTCTTCTTGTACACACTCTAATACAGGAAAAATTATACGAAGTAAAGTAGAAGAAAAAGAAATTGTTTGTACCCACTCTTGGACTCATCTTATATCCATCATGTTTGTGAGATTTTTTGTTTGTTTGTGATTGGATTCACAGACAAAATAATTTGCAGAGATATATTTTATATGTGATCGGGGGATACACAGACAAAAAAAGTTCTTCACATACATTACAAAAATTGGTACATGAGTTGGTAACTTGGTACAAAGCCATGAACATCTTCCACAAAAAAAACACTAATGCTAAAGCTACCCCATTTTGTACGCCTCCTATGTTTGTGGTTCACAAAAGCAATGAGTTAAAATGGAGCAATTATTTTAATTGAGTTGAATTTTTGTGAGCCACAAACATAGAATAAAGTACAAAATGAGATAGAAAATGCGATACTTCTGGCATTTCTAAAAAAAAAAAAACTCCGTAATAAAATAAATAAAGCCAGTGGACTTGCGTGCAGACAAGGCAAAAACTGGGGATATTTTTGGGGATTTCTGAAATAGAAAGAGCAAAAATGGAAGCTTGATTGCCAGAAGGCCCGGAAAGATGGGTTCAGCTGCAGTTCCTTCCAATCCGACGTTTCCTCGTAGGATGGGGCCCTCGACCACCAGCATCATCACCAGCGCCACTGCTCTCCGCCTCGGTAACTTCCTCCATCGCCGCCTTCGCTTGTCGTGCCTACTCCGCTCCTCCTTCAAGGTATAAACACACCCGACGATGCCCACTGGAACATAAAAGTTCCATCAATTTCTATCATTTTGTAGCTTTAGACTTTCTGTTTCGCGTTGAGAAGATACTCAGCTCGATATTTTGTACGGTGCAGAATATTTGTCTTTATGCTCGTCCTCCCGCGTTCAAACTTGAAAGTTTCGATCTTCTTCACGGGTCGCAGAATTTTTTGGCCACCACTTGTTTGAGCTTTTCCCTTTTCAATGGAGATGGAAATAGAAACAATTCCAGAGAAACTGGAAAGTCACCTGGCCATTTCGTATTTAACGACAGGAAATGGACCAATCTTCTTTTAGCCATCAACATATTGTAAGTATCATTTTCTAAGTTGAATGCCAACATTGAATTCTACCAGCCTTTCTCTTTCCCCCATTTAGAAGGATATCCATAAAAACAGAGTAAATGTTTGAGGTTTTTAATTCGGATAATAATAATAATAATAATAATAATAATTATTATTATTACTATTTGTCTATTCATTATTTTTTGGCTTGGGAATATGATGGAATAAAGCAATATGGCTCACTAAACTATCTGCTCTTCTTTGTTACGAAGCAACAGTCAATCCATGCAATTTTGGTCGCGATTTTTACAATGGGTCATCCGGAAACAGTCTCTCTGTGCTTTAGTACGGAGGTAAGACTGCGTACATCCGACCCCCTTGCCTCACCGTAGGTGGGAGCCTTTGCAGGACTAGGGTTAAATGAAAATGAATGTCTAGGCAGGTTACCTGATGCCATGCTTAGAATCAGTGAAATGAAAAAAGACAATAACAAATGAAAAATGAAGATTCCCAATTGATGTTATTTGACTTTATATTATGTACGAAGTAGTAGTTATCAACTGATGATTGCTAGTTAATATAGCTATAAGGTAAGACCGTAAGATAACTTGATATATTGCTGGTAAGGCGGCATTACTTTAGCTATAAAAGTAAGAACCTTGTCTCAATTTTCATCAGAGCTTATATTGCTCAAGTTGGAACAGAAGGGAAACTATTATCTTGGGGAGCTAAGGTTAGATTCCCGAATTCTAAAAACTTTAAATGACAAAGTATAAAATTCTCTACCAGGGTTGAATTGATAATGTACTGTCCAGAAGTATATGAGTGCAGATCAATAGACTAATAGACAAAGGAGAAATATGGAGGTTGATTACTTCTTCATTCCTGCATGCAAATCTTGGGCATCTTCTGGTAACAGTACATTGCACAATCTGTTTGATGAAACTGTGTCTGATTTCTCCTTTTAGAGTCTTGTTGGATGGGGGGCGTTTTAAGGGGTGGGATGGGAAGACTTCCGGGGGCTTATTCTATATCTTGATAAACAGAATATTCTATGATCAGATACTAATTGAAAATTTTAAAATTGTAAAATCTCAAATATATATCTAGAAATAGACTGAGCCTTCAAAACTCCTCCTCTCCAAAACCATCAATCCAAACAGAGCCAAGAGAGCTTGAAGGGACTGAAATAAAAGTGTAACTTCTTTCAGGTCAATTGTTATTCCTTAAATTCTGTTGGACCCGTCATTGAGAAAACTAGTGGTTCTAAACGATACATTGCTGTTTATATGATCTCAGCAGCTGCGAGTAACATTCTCTTTCCATTGCTTATTTATTACTCCCTCCGTCCCCCCTAACTTTGTCCCGTTTTACCTTTTTCGTCCGTCCCATGAAGTGTGTTTCATACCATATTTGGTAATATTTCGGTGATTACAATTCATTCTTACTTATTTACACTTTATCAATTCAATACCAACCACACAATTTCATTTTTTCTTAAAAATTGTGCCACACCCCGTTGTCCCAAACATAGTGGGACGGAGGTAGTAGAATATAAAATAGTCCATTGTTTTCCAACAGGAAATTATTAATATTTCGATTTCATGTTTTACCAGGTTCAACATTTAGTTACTGGTTCAGCAAAGCACCTGCGATTGGTGCATCAGGGGCTATCTTTGGACTTGTAAGCACTGAATAACCCTTGGTAGTAAAGCTTTTATGTACTTTTTTGTTTCTTTTTTTCATTTAAATAGTGATGGAAATATTTGAGATTGAGTTCTGACTTCGGAGTAGTCTTCCTGACTTCATATTCATGTAACTGCTATCAGCTGCCTTTCTAAATGCAGAGTGCATGGGGATGACCCTACCCATGTGTAACTTTGATTATAGTAGCTTCTTTTTTAATTGTTGATAAAAATACGTAGAATTTCTGTGGCAATTTTCTTTATTTTAAGAAAAAGGATTAATGTAATTATATACTTTTATATGGTGGTTTTATCAGGTTGGATCTTATGCTGTGTATGTCTTGAGACACAGAGGTATCCTCAAGGGAACTGAAGGGAAGTTGAAATATATAGCACAAGTAATTGCTATAAATATGGTAGGGAATACTGTCTTTGCAAAGTTGTTTCTGTTTCTACTGGAATTCATTCCTACAATCCACCAAGTCCTAACCAATGTCTTTGGTGCAGACCATTGGGCTTCTATCACAAGGCATTGATAACTGGGGACATGTGAGTTTACGAGTATCTGTTTATTTCCTGCATTCCGATCTTATCTGCTTTATGATTTCTTATAAATGTGAAGAAAGAGCTCCCTTTTGTTTTATAGTCTTGCTTCACACTTGAAAATTAGTGTTTCATTGTGCATTTCAAGCAGGAGTCAGGAGAGCGTTTGCTTCTACTTTTGAGTTAACAAATTATAGAGATGATATGAAAAGTGATCAATACGGAGAAGTAAAAAGTTGGTAGTGTTTGAGAAAAAGTAATTTTGAAAAAGTAAAAGTTATTTGAGAACACTTTTTCAACCTTTTTAATGCTAGAAGTTGAAAAACACTTACTTTAAGAAATGGAAAACATTCCCTAACGCTTGTTTGGCTGGAAGGAAAAATATATGGGAGAGGAAATTCAGAAAATAATGTATGACCCTATGAGGAAAAAAAGGAGTTCATATTCCATTTGTTTTCTTCGGCAGTCAATTTTAAAGATATAAACTAAACCTTGAACTATTTCTCCTATCAAGTTAGATCTTTTAAGAAGAATAAAGTTTGTTAAACCCTAATGATCATTTAGATTTAGGTAAGCCTGAATAACGAGCACATGGACTAGTATATATGCTTTAACTAGCAAAAGATTTGTAAAATACAAACCGCAACATACCTTAGACTATTCATGGGGTGCTTGGGTAAGAATTATTCCTCAAACTCGAGGTAAAAATATCTAAGGGAGAAAAAATATTATACTTCCTCTGTTCGGATTTAAATGCAACACTGCCGCTGGCACAGAAATTAAGAAACTTTAGAAAAGTGTTGTTTCTTCCTGCTTTACCCTCAATTACACATGGCTATTATTACATCGAGAGAAACAGCAAACTGACAGGCTACTCTAGCTACGGCCTATGGATGCTCCTTCTTTTGTGCTTCCTTTAGTCCGATCCTGAAAAGAAGTTGCCGGAGCAAACAATTTCGCATCTTTATTGTTGACGGTTTGTCTCCATATACAGTTAAAAAAGGCAATGAAAAACATATTGATAAAAGAAAATTGATGTTGAGTGGAAAGAAATTGAACTATTGAAGAAAGAAATGATAGGTGTTCACATTAAAGAACAAGAAAGAGGAGTTGAGGGGTCTGAGTCAAGCAGAATATAGCCATAAGAGAAAACTGGAAGAAGATGAGAGCGATAAAAAGTAAATGGGGAACGTGGCATGAGGAAAAAAACAATTGTTATGACTCATGAGTGGGTGAGATTAATTTGGGTGCAGATGGATTGATTATGCGGTTGTGACTTGTGAATAGGGAGGGGTATGGTAGTCATAGAGCCTATATTTTCTTACCAAAAATAGAATGTTGCAATTATTTTGAAACTTCCGAAAAAGGAAAGTGTTGCATTTATTAAAGAACGGAGGAAGTATATACCAAACACGGGAATGCTTTGTTTTATTTAGGAATTAATTAGGAGAAGAATAATTTCTCCAAACAAACAAACAAACCATAAAATAATAGCCTACGAAGTTCATGATATGGTGTCAGGGTGCTAATCAAGCGAGTTGAGCTTGAGTCATAATCAATAAAAAGAGTTGAATTCGTGTTCAAGTTGAGAAATATATAACTTGAGTTTGAGTTTGAGCTGAGTTTGAATTGAATTTGAGTCTTATCTATTCTTAAAAGTTGTATATTTTTAAGCAAATAGTTTGATTTGTCATCACTTTTAAACACACATGTGCAATCATCAATAATTCTTTAAATGTAAAATCAAAGTTTTCAAATTATGTTCTTAAACGTTGGGAATCCCTTTGCCATTTACGTAACTCTGTTTTATCGCCACATAGGAATGCCTAAAGTCCACATAACACTTAAAACATTAAGCAACATGTAATCTGTTGTATACTTTTAGTAGAAGATGTGTATAATACTCTCTGTTCTAAAAATCGTTCTAGGCGCCCGACTAGTCCCCGCCTAGGCGCTAGGCGGTGGTCGGGCGCCCCGATTTTCATCTAGGCGCTCCGACTAATTGGATGGCCGTCTAGGTGAATTAGTTGGCCGCTTATGGCGCCTAGTTGCCCGCCCAGAGCGCCTAATCGGCCGCCTAGGCCGTCTATATTCGTCGAACATTACTTTACTTTTCAATTTTAATTTTCTAAGCGATATAAGTAATTCAACTTTAGCCACAGATATAAAGAAATGAAGTTGTGAATTAAAATAAAGATTATATATGTTTGTATATATACCTAAATAAATTTTATTATTATGTATATTTATAACATAATGAAGTGAAGTGTTTATGATTAAAAGTGATCATTCTATCATTCATATTGGTTAATGTATGTATATATGTATTTTATTCACACTAGAATACAATATTACTTATTATATTTATGCAAAAATATAGATAAAATGCAATTTCTATGTTCCGACTAGTCCCCGCCTAGGCGCCCGCCTAGCCGCCTAGGCGCTAGGCGCTGGGCTGGCGCCCGACTAGCGCCTAGCGCCTTTTAGAACATTGATAATACTTCAGATTAAGTATGAACTAATGAACCCATATTCTGGATATATAATGTCATGCTCATATGTATGAATCAAAAAAATCAATATGAACTCATGATCGAGTAGCTTGCGAGCTTTTCGAGTTGAGCTTTATATAACTTGAATTGACTTGGTTAGATGTTCAAGTCGAATTTGACAAGTCAAGTTTGAATCTGTTAAGCTAGGTTCGAGTAAGAACCGAACCGATCTCGATTAACTTGCTTGATTTGGACCCTAAATCTGGTGTTTTGCTTACATGTCGGATTTGAATATCTTTATTATGATTGATTTTTCAGCTGGGAGGTTTGGTAGGAGGAGCTGCAGCTTCATGGCTCCTTGGTCCAGCATGGAAACTCGAGTCTGTTAGAAATGACGGCCGAGGAGTCTTGACTGACAAGGCACCAATTTTCTCCCTCATCAAGTGGAGAAAACCTTAGGCGATCTTGATAATCAACTGATTTTTCGGGCTTGTTAAAGAAACATGTCGCTATAAATGTTATACTATTTTGCAATTCCTAGTCTATTGGCTGTATTACAGTTGTTTACTTGTTTTCCTGCTCTACCTGAAATTACTTGGTCAAAACTTTGCAAACGAAAAACAAACATATTTTTCCTTCTCAATCCATAATATTAATGAAATGAATTTGCTTGACCAAAACTTATTGTATACTCCCTCCGTCCCCTTTTAAATGTCCCGGAACAGGGTGACACGAGTTTTAAGAAAAGTGGGTTTGTGTGGTTGATATTAATTGATAAAGTAAGAATAAAGTAATAATGATTTTGAGCCACACAAACTTTACCAAATAAGGTATGAGACAATTAAATAGGGACATCCTAATATAGTAAAATGGGATATTTAAAAGGGGACGGATGGAGTATGTGTTATAATTCATTTATCTTTCAGGTCTCGAATTAATAAAATTCCTTTAAAGGCGCAGATTATACTGTGCGACCGGCGCACCATGAGGATTGTGTGCCCGGTCGCAAAACGGCGATCGTTCCTCTCTTTCCATTTGCCTAAACCAACAGTGCTCTCCCAGCCCCTGCCCGCCTGTCATCGCCACCTAGCCGCCCCAAACCTTCACAGCGCCTAGCACCTCGCCCATCCACCTGCAGAATTGTTGCCCAACACCATCCCACAACCACAACCCCCTTGTGCAATCCCTGCAACTGCCGCATCACACCACCACAACCCCAGTTGCCTCACGCAATCACAGGTCCAGACCATGCCCAGTATATTCATTTGTGTGTGTGTGTGTGTGTATATATATATATATATATATATATATATACTCCCTCCGTTTCTAAAAGAAAGTCACGGTTTGACTTCACGATTATTAAGGAAATAAATTGACTTTACTGTAGAAAACACTGTTTAGACACTGTTTGGCACTGTTTGGGCACTGTTTGGCACTGTTTGGCACTGTTTGGATGTAGATTTCTTTGCCAAATAAGGAAATAAGGGAAGTGTGACTTTTATTTTGGCACATCCAAAAAAAGAAAGTGTGAGGTTCTTTTAGAAACGGAGGGAGTATATAATTATATATATATGGAGTTACATGTCAATAGCCTAAAGTTACATGTCCCAAATTACATCTAATTTGTTCCCCAAGTTACATTTCAATAAAAGCAGTTTACATTTTAACGAGTTACATACTTACATGTGAATGAGTGCAATTTACATTTTGATTAACTTGAAGTTACATCTCGAATCACACGAGTTACATCTCATATAACCATGGGTGCATGGTGCTCACCAGTCATCATGCACCGGTTGCACGGTATAGGCACTGCTTTAAAGGAGTTGTCTCAAAATCCATATACTCCACATCCGTACATGAACTAGAATTTCATATTTCAACACAAAAATTCATAAATAGACAAAATAGCACAATATATTCGTAAGTATAACTCAAAATCATGGACAACTTTGTTCAAAATTTAAGGCATCCATATTTTAACAAGCATTAGACATTATAATCCATGAAAAATCACAATTTAGGCATTCAGGTGATCTCATGCTTAGCCTAGAAATTAATTCTTACCTCAAATGAGTTCTACACCCTCTTTACAAATTAGACCCTTGATGAGGGTTGCTGACTTGCGTGGCTAAAAAAAAATTGAGTTCTTGACCGGATCAAACTGCATTTAGCTTTTTCTAGAAGACCAAAACTAACTTTTCATGAAATTTAAGAGTAAAATAATGACCAATTTGTTTCTAAAGTGTTTAATTTTGTTCGTTCTAAAATAATTGCCTATTATATTAAAGCGAACAAAAGCACGAATTTGCGAAATAACAAAAGCACGAGAATACGAAAGCTACTGATTAAACACGAATTCGAGCATGTTTTAAAATCGAGTTGCGAGTAAAGTTTAAAACGAACAATTTCGCAAAATTAAGAGTAAAATAATGACTCGAAAGAGAACACGAAAGCTACTGATTAAACTCGAAATGGCACGAATTTTGTTTACAAATTGTTCTAAGATACGAAAGCTACTGATTAAACTCGTTTTGCGAGTAAAGTTTAAAACGAATAGGCTAAGATTCCAGATTCTAAATGCCAACTTTACTCGATTTGCGAAATAACAAAAGCACGAGAAGATTTACGCCTTCAAATCGAGTAAATGGTCAAAAAAGTAGGATAACTCGAAAGAGAATACGAAAGCTACTGATTAAACACGAATTCGAGCATGTTTTAAAATCTTTTGTAAAAATGAATAAAGGATCGAGTGCTGAACCAACATGAGATATACTTTTCCTTCCTGTTCGATCTCTGGTCCAAACTAGTGATGGCCTCGGTGCGGGTCTGCGGGATACCCGACCCGGGAACTGGCCCGGCCCGATACTGTGTGGGCCCGGCCCGGGAACCAGTTCTGTTACTGGAAATGGTACACCCCAAACTAAATAAAATCTACTAGACTACAGAGATGATACAATTTCAAATGATGTATTCAACATTTCAACCCCTAGTTAGTTAAATACGGTACGAGAATTAAACGAGGTTTAATACGTTCGCGTTTTATTCGGTAACATTAATGAAAAACACGGTCAAAAATTCGTTGAAAAAAATGTTGACTTTTATAAAACGTGTAAATACGTATACGTGTATAATACGTTATCGGTTACAAAAATTCGGACAAAAAATACGGGGCATTATTTTGAACATTTAGAGTATATACTTTATAGAAAACAACATATATAGTAAAAAGAAATAAAAGTACACATATTCATGTAGCAAATTCCATTACTACATAAAAATAATTCGTAATTCTACTGGAGAGCCTCCAGGACAAGGAGGCAAATTCCATTGCTACCTAAAAATAATTTGTAATTCTACTGGAGAGCCTCTTGGTGCAAGTCCAAGACATAATTTTGCAAAATGACGCCAAAAAAATAAGGCATAATAACAATAGAATGAGACTAAGTTAAAATCATTATCTTTCTATTATCATCAAATAACACTCAAGTTAAACTAATAATTTTCATCAAGATGACGGATGACATATGAGAAAAGTTGTGCAATTGTTACGCTTATTATTGTTTATGTAAAAGTTTATACTAAAAAATGTCCAGTTTAGAAAAACCTTAATTTTGATAAGCTTGTTTGAAAAAACATCAGAAATCTAGTACTCCCTCCGTCCCTGAAAGAACTTTCAACTTTCCTTTTTCATTCATATCAAAAGAACTTCAACTTTCCTTTTTTGGTAATGAATTAGTGATTCACAACATTTGTTACACATTTCTTTATCTTTTGCACAACTCTCCACAACACAATACCCACTTTCTTAATATGTGTGTCATTTGTACTATGAAAGAACTACTAAGGACGGAGGGAGTAGTATTTTAAGTTTTAGTCTTTAGGATGCTAGCTTTAACCGTCATGCAATTAATTTTAGTGATTAATAATTGTATTGTAAAATACAAAAACACGGGATCATGAGGAGGGCGTTTTCATTTCTACTTTTAAACTATTGTTGATCTTCTATGCATTTAATGCATTCGTTTAATTGATCAATTCATGTTTCTGTTTTTTTGTAAAATACGGGAAAAATACGTTTTATACAGGAAGTAGGAGTTTTTTTCCTTTTTAAACGGACCGACATTATTTTTCGTTTTAAACGTGTTTTTTTACTCAAAAAAACGGTACGTGTTTAAAACGCGTTTAAAACGGAAAAAAGCTAACTAGGTTTCAACCCACTGAACCCACGTTAGTATGTTACTAGAAAGTAGAAAGCATCAAAAGGCAAGACTATGACGGTATTCTGTAAGTTGAAGGCTTGAAAAAAAGATTTCAAGCCTTAAATGCTTGAAGCCTTGAACTCTTGAAGTATAAACATTTCAAAAAGATCATATTAAAGTGTTGACATTTTTTTTTGCTTTTTGAGTATGTTACTAAAGTATACTGAAGTGTCTTGTTCTTATACACACCTTCATCGACTCAGATTACAGGCCATCCAAAGAGAACCCATAACATTTTACAATTGGTATCTCAATGAAAAACCTGCATCAAATTTGAAAACAATACTGTATAAGTTAGCATTCCCTTTGGGAAAAAGTGTCCTGTACGTCTTCTGTAGTGGTGAGATCATATCCTTTTTGTAACCTGCTGGCAGTTACAAATTAACTTTCACGTTCTCATGGTTCAAATGGCAAGCATGCTATCTACTAACCCGCTGGTGCCACTGTTGTCAAATCCAATAAGCAAAGAGTACGAGAGATCCTAGCACGTTGGTAAAATACATCCCCGTGTGAATACATCCCCTTTCGCAAGCTGCAAAATTAATTCAATCAATAAGCATGTGTCAAATACAATGTATACAGGTGGTGTTTTTCAGCTTAAACACTGCTCCGGTTTAGAAATTGGTACTGGAACTGAAACCGGAGCATTATAATAGGAAGGTTTCAATTTTGCGAAATGAAGGGGAGCAGAACCAGCAGCAAAAATGGGATGCAGTATAAATCCAGAACAAAGATTCCTAAAAAACAGGTGTAAATTTATAAATGGTCAACAACTGTTGTTATTGATGCACTTTGGCACCACAAAAATTGAATGAAGCAAATCGGTACCCCAAGTACATTTAACTGGTATAAGATGGCACCATTTGAAATTCCAGTTTCAACAAAAAAATATCAGACTATAGTTTGAAGTTTGCATGCATTCAACAAATTATGTGTAATTAACGCTGTGTTTGGTTAGAGTGTTGAAGGCATGGTAGTCAAAATCGCGAGTTTACTCATAGGATCGTACAATCATACGATCCCAGTAGCCTTGCGATCCCGCTTCTACCGAGTATCATAAAATCGTAAGAATCACTGGGATCAGCGTGTTTAATCATAGGATCACAGAATCGCAGTTGAATCGCGATTCAATCCTATCAGGAGATGTCTAGAAAACAAACCCTAAGGCACTGAAACTTGTGAGAAACACGCGGGAAGTTGAACGAAGTAGCTTTGAAATTTACCAAAATAGTTCTGCGTGAATCCCCTGCGCCTTCGATCTTTTCTCCAAATTTAATATCTTTTCATCTCTCCATATCATCTGATGCTTCTGCGTCAAGTCCTTGACCTCCAATTCTTCATCTGTTAGCTACTGTGTCGACCTCCATGTAATATTTTTACAAGATTTAGAGCTCACTCCTTTGTAATTAATAATATTT